TCCCCACTTTTCATTACGGTAAAGTGACTTAAGCCACTTTCAAAATAAATAGTTTAGAAAAATGACTGACAAAAAATTAATTTTGTCCGACGTATTTTACCGAAGTGATGTTTTGAAAGGACAGTGATTTACTAAAATTGTTGAATAAATTACATATATAATAATAATTTATACCATGAACATATTTAATATAAAGGTTTGATTTAAGTATTTTTTATTTTAATATTCATAAAATACAAAAATAATTAGTACATTTTGAAACATAAGTATAAGTAATTTATATGAAAATACATCAGTTCAATTTAATTTTCGTCATCAATAGGAGTGATTAAGTCCTCGGAAATCGTGTTTTGTTTCAAATTTTTAAAATAACTGTGGTATATTGGGGGTATATAATTAAGCAAGTCCATCATGTCTTTGTATTTTGCTGAAGAAACAGGACGAGATCCAGCGTATAACGGATCCATTTCTATTTGTGAATAACGCCTAGGTCTTCCTCTTTTTGGTGACAAATCCAAAGTTAGAAATTCATCTTTTTTATCTAAAGTTAGTTTATAAAACATTTTATAGGGAATATCATGGTAAAATCGTATCCATTGAATTTTTAGCACTATTCTTTCGCACTTATAAAAATAAGACCAGTAATCACAACTTTTGTAAAAATACTGAAAATGATTCAAAACAATACTTTGCACACACATATCACACGTTTCTATTTCTTTTACACTAAGCCCCGCAATTAATTTCCTGAGTACAGCGACTTACGCCACTTTCAAAATAAACATGTTTGTTATACCGTTAATTAGTAAAACTTCTCTCGAACAAATCTCAATAGTTCTCAATTTATTGATTGAAAATTTTTTTAGAATGAAAAGATACCGTTCAATTGTAATTAGTGTTACCATTAACTCGATTTTTTTGAAAAAGTGACTTATGCCACTTTCAACATAAACGGCTCACATACAAACAACAATTATTAAATATACATACATTTAAATATAATTTCATATAGTAATTGAAACTGGAACTTTATTCCGTGCGAATGATTATATCATTCGCAAAGCTATCGTTAACATAAATCTACTTCCAAACTTGAGAATAATCCAAACCGTAATTTTACGTTCGCAACACTAACTCAAATAGCTGTTAGACATTCGTAACGCTAATTCAATTCGCGATATGCCCATCATTGATAGCCGTTGTGAGGCGGTAAAGCTAGGCCATATACTAATACTACAACACAACTATTGCTACAACCACTATTACTATTGCAGCAAGTAGAGTGACCAATTAACATTACATATACATAATCATTTTTACCTTACTTTGCGTGATATTAACCTATAAGTAAAGAATCTGAAAATCTTAGCTAAAAAGAGTGTGTTATTAGTTTCATATTATTCTTCAAAATGAATCTGTTTCGATTGCAATTAAAATTATGACAAGTTACGGTCGAAAATTGAATACGTATCAACGCGAACTCTAGTTATCCGAAAAGAAAAAAGTAATGACTATTGCATTCATACAGAAAACGCAAATTATGGAAATATACACACTAATTAGATATAAAATACAATTCAATTCGTAGAATTGAGAAAACTATTAATAAAAAAGTGCATGCAACCCTCATTTCGATGTGTCATTGGCTTTGGAATTGGAAGTAGGAAGAATGTAAAGGAAAGTAGGAGAGAAGAAGCAGCAGCAGAAAGTGAAGAAGTTTCCATAACCCAAGCATCAGGTCTGATTTAAGATTAGAAACAAAAATATTGATTTCTATTAAGGAAAAGGTAAAATTCATGTTGATATTGAAAAAGATCAAATTTTGTTACATGAGGAGAAAGTAAAACAAATTTAGATCAAAATTAAGAAGAAACTAAAATTTTGTTTTAGTAAGAAGTATATTAAATTTCAAACATAAAATTGGAAAGTGAAAATAAGATTTGGTTTTAGGTGAAAGTTTATTAAATTTTAATTAAAATTGAGAAGAAAACTAGAATTTGATTTTAGGAGAAAGTAGGGTAAATTTAGATTCAAATTGAAAAGAAAAGGAAAATTGTTTAAATTGGTTGCATAAATTANTCTTTTTTTTTTTGAGACGTTGAAGCGATTAATTCTCCAGAGAACGAGTACAGATCGGAATGATAAAATTGCAGATGAATGAAAAAAAAAAAGAAAAAAAAAGAAAAAAAAAGAAAAAGAGAGAGAGAGAGAGAGAGAGAGAGAGAGAGAGCGAGAGAGAGAGAGAGAGAGAGAGAAAAAATAAAAATTTTAAATAAAAGGGAACATACATTTGGGAAGATCTTCAGAAGCAGGCCTTCAAGGCAAGAGGCAGCTTTCGGAATGGGAGAGTGAAGCAGTGAGATTGGAAAGTATCTTGTTGTCTCATTCTCACTCATTCCAAGAGGTGCCTCTCCTTCAGCATTACTAGGAAAATCAGATCTGACTTATCTTCCTGCGAACGCTGCTCTCGCCTGGAAGGTGCTCCCTTGATCAAACCACTCCTGATGGAGGAACCCCTGGAACCCGACTGTTTTCTCTGGCGATTGCATTGCTGCAACTAACTGAGCCATGTAGCATATATTGGGTTGGCAACTAAGTAATTGCCGATTTCAGTTATAGATGTCTCTCACTCCCATTTTTATGATATCCGTAAATGTTATATTATAAAATTTATTGTTATTATTATTATTATTATTATTATGTTATTTTTTATTATCCGCGAATGTTAGCAACTGGACAAATTGAATGCAGCGGTCAAGGAAAAGCGACCAGAATTGGTCAATCGTAAAGGTGTCATTTTCCAGTAGGACAATGCTAGGCCGCACACGTCTTTGTCCACTCGGCAAAAATTGATGGATATTGCTTGGGAATTAATGTTACACCCACCATATAGCCCTGATCTCGCGCCATCGGATTACCACTTATTTCGATCCCTGGACAACTCCCTTCGTGGTAAAACTTTTAATGATGATGACGCTGTAAAATCTCACTTAACTCAGTTTTTGGCCGAAAACGATCAGACTTTCTACGAGCGTGGAATTTTCAAGTTGTCAGAGAGATGGCAAAAGGTCATCGAACAAAATGGAAAATACATTACAGATTAAACTCCATTCCGAGTAAAAAAAAATTTTTTTTTTCATTGAACAAATCGGCAATTACTTAGTTGCCAAGCCAATACATATAGCGCTGAGGTAAATAGATAGACGAGAGTGGCGGTTACTTCTCGATGAACGTTGATCGCTGCGATCGATAACGGTCGATAATTTTGATTATTTCTAAATATTGAATGTTAGTAACAATTTATTTTGCAAGAAAGCTATTGGGCACTCGCAAGACTATTTTATCATCTAAATTTTTTATAAAAAGTACCAACGAGATTGAAATAACAAAAGAATTATAATTGCACAAATCGATCGATGGTTTATTAAATCAAGCTCCTTTTATTAATGAATTCTGGCTTCTTAATGTTTGTTAGAGATACGGTTAAGTATGTCTCCTTGGCTATTTCGCCATTTATTTTGTTAATGGAAATAATGAACAACTCCAAACATACAGAGTGATTTTTAAAAAGAATTCTTACATCGAAAATATACATTTGATAAATTTATTATTTCTAGCTGTTTAATAATTATAAGAATTTCTTTCAGAACACGAGGTACACAAAAACTTTTCGAGCATAAGTATTTCGAAAAATTATTTCGGCAAATTACCTTCCTTGCATACAGATCTCGAAGTTTGTAAAACTACTAGCTCCACTTTTAAAACAGTCTTACACTTCTATTAATGACATTCACTGAAACTTTTGAAATATAAAATGTTAAATTACAAGTACCATTTTCATCGTTTAAATGTATGGTCCCGCTCAAATTTTTGGCCTTTGAATCGCAAAACATACCATAATACAAACGAGGTATAACGAATACTCGATTTTTGCTCAGACGTTTAAATTTCGTAGGTAACGACAAGTGTGAGACGGAAATGGTAATAGGGGTGACCCGTTATACTAGGTGACCTAGATATCAGGTGACACAAAAATATATTGGATACTATAGATCTACTCTGTCTGTGATCAAGCCATAGACTTAGGGTCCGTAGAATGGATTTTAAGTCTGTAATTAAGTACTCGTAATAGAAACGGAGTATATGAGATATTCGCTTCCCGCTAACGTACCTAAATTCATGAACTATCGGTAACGCAGAGTGCGACACCGAAATGGTAAATGGATCTTAGGACCCCCTAAACAGACCCCCAGACTAACCTAGACAGAAAAGCCCACATATGCAATGGCTGTGCGTATTCTAAGCGTGTGTTTGAATGTTTCTTCGAGATATCAGCGTATGGTTAAGGTTATGTATATATATTCGCAGTAGATGTTAATTACTAAATTAAATCACTCTTTAACGATTTACGGTAGCAAGGAATGCGAAGTTTCCTCCGTTAAAGACGGAAAGCTGTAAACTTCAGAGTAGTCAATCGTAATGGTACGTAATTCGGTAACAATCGGTTAAAGGAGCGAAAACGCTGAATTGTATTCCGTTGCGAAGATCAGGCCGTAGATTTCGGTGCAGCTAACAATGCCCGTTTTGCTCGGTTAAAAATGATGTAGCATAGAACAGAAGAAAGATGATAGAGAAAAGGTGAAAGGCGAAAGAGAAAAGAGGCGAAAGACTAGCGCGAAAGAGACAGAACGACGAGCGTGTTCGAACGGACAGAAGAATGGTTTTGGGGTAAGGGGCAGCGGTTCGATTAACGGTCGAAGCTTTTAAAGGAGAAACGAGAGGCGGTGAGGACGCGCGACAAAGTTTTCGATAGCTATTATCAATCGACGCGATAGAAAATCAGCGATAACGTGACACGAGCCAACGAGAAGTCTACTTACGTGTTCGCGAGTGGGTAATGCGGCTCAAGATCGCCGAACGAAGCGTCAGTACCGTTTTCGATCTCGGTGCCGCGGATCCGATCGTTTCCACGTTGTCGTTGTCCCCTCGTCGGTAGAGAACGTTGTCCGATCGCACAGGACAGATAGGAGACGGATAGGGATCGCGTGGTCGGGGTGATCGCGGGATCGTAAATCGTAACCTGTGGCGGTGTCCGTAACGTACGCGTAAGCCTAAGAATAGTTGTCCAGTGGCCGAAATCGATCCTCGACGGTCGTTTCGGCGGCGCGTCGCGGCAGATGCGTGTTCGCTTCGATTCGCACCGCGTTCGTTCCCTTGATCGATCGAGTTCTCGTCAGGAGCACCGCGAAGAGGAGATCCGGGGAAGTACCGTGGTTCGATCGAACATGGACAGGAGCCGGAAACGATTCGACGCGGCCGTGACCGATGCCGCGAGCAAGCCGGAAACGCGTCGAACGCGCGGTCTTCTCGTCTAATACGACACGGAAAGCAAAAGGTGGAGGAGGAGCGGAGGAGCAGATTCGCGAGGCGGCGGTGCGTTCGTTGGGCCGGTGGCTTCTACATGGATACCAAATGGATCGTCCTGTCGACGGTCGCATGGCTCGCTTGGTCCGCTCGGTTCGCGTGTCCGGTGAAAGGGGAGTCCGGCTGTCGCGAGGCCCGGTTGGCCCGCAGCTGCGAAACTCTCTGCGAGATAAACCGTCCGCAGGTGTCCTGCGAGCTCAGGATAGCGGTTCTGCTCCCGGCGGATCCACGATTCGACATCTCGTTGCCGAAGGTGCTGCCGGTCCTGGGTAAGGTTCTGGCGAGCGCGATTTCGATTCGCGGCGCGCGCGCTTCGATCGTTTCGACCGGCCGTTAGAATTGTTTTGTCCGGTTCCGCAGATCTGGCGGTGAACGACGCGAGGTCGCGGGGCTTGCTACCGCCTTGGTTGCAGCTGCAGTTCCTGTCGCAGAACGACCATTGCGACGCGACGTACGCGCAGATCGGCGCGATCGACAGTTTCTCGAGCTGCGTACACCTGTTTCTTGGGCCCGCCTGCGACTACTGCGTTGGTAAGGGATCGTCTCGTTCGGCGTTCGAAGGGGCGTTCGAATTCACGGTTCGAGTTACGGTTCGTTTTCAGCGGCCGTCGGCAGAGTGGTGAAGTTTTTCGACGTTCCCCTGATCACCACCGGCGGTTTCACGTACGACTTCACCGAGAAGAAGACCGAGTGCAAGGACGAGTACTTTATGACCACCAGAATCGGCAGTTTGGCGTTCAGAGATCTCGCGAACTTTTTCGTCGGCCTGATGAATCGGTGCGTTGCAATCGCGTTGTC